CGGGGTATTTCACTTTTACCGACGTGTTACAAAATACTATCTAACATCTTACTAGCTAGGATATTACCGTATGCGGACAAGATAATAGGAGATCACCAGTGCAGTTTTAGGAGAAATAGATCGACTACAGACCAAATTTTTGCTATTCGGCAGATCTTAGAGAAAAAATGGGAATTTAATCAGCCGGTATATCAACTTTATATAGTTCTTCAAAAAGCGTACGACTCTGTAAAACGAGAAAAAATGCTCGAAATCCTAATACGACAGGGAATACCAAGAAAATTGGTCAACCTTGTTCAACTTTGCCTAAAGGAAACTAGGGGTAAAGTGAGGTTAAGTAACCAAATATCGGAAGATTTTAATATCCATAACGGGTTAAAACAGGGGGACGCATTGTCACCCTTTTTTGTTCAATTTAGTACTGGAATGCGTTGTCAAAGAACTGCAGAAAAGTAAAGATGGTCTACAGTTGAACGGGATAACACAATTGTTGACATACGCTGATGATATTGCTTTGTTAAGGGACAACGAAGAGGCATTAATTAATAACGCAAAAATATTAATAGATAATACTAAAGATCTGGGACTGCAAAAAAGCGCGAAAAAAAACCAAATATATGATAACCGATAGAGTTCATAATAGGCCTAGTATTGGAACTTTGGTCGTCCGGGATAAAACTTTTGAGCGGATCAGCAACTTTAGGTATATTTAGGATCGATCATAAATCAGACGAACGAAATTAACGAAGAACTTAAGAAAAGAATCAATCTAGGCAACTCATGTTTTCATTCGATTAACAAATTACTCAGCTCGCGGTTGCTGTCGAGGCGATTAAAAATCAGGATATACAGGACAATCATCCTGCCGGTAGTCCTTTATGGTAGCGAATCGTGGTCGCTTAAGTTACGGGACGAAAAGAAATTGAGGGTTTTCTAAAACAAAGTTCTTCGTAAAATGTTCGGTGCAAAACGCGATGAGGAAACGAGCGAATGGAGAAAATTCCCTAACGTTGAAGTATATCGATTGTACAACAAACCGGACATTATCAACGTCGTAAAATCACGCCGATTAAGATGGGCTGGTCACGTGGCGCGGTGTATGGGGGAGGATCGAACGGCGCACAATATATTGGTCGGTATACCAAACGGGAAAAGACCACTTGGTAGACCGAGACGTAGATGGGAGGATAATATTAGAAGGGACCTGAAAGAAATAGGCTGCGAAAACTGCGAATGGAGGGTCGCGCTCAGGGATGGGAACAATGGCGGGATTTGGTATTCGCGGCAATGAACTTTCGAGTTCCTAATGCCAACTAATAATAATAATAATAATAATAATAATAATAATAATAATAAAAACTCTTACGAAATTGAGAGGAAAATCTGGACAAGCAAATAATTTATTTTAGAAGGAATTTACACTATTGGATAGTGAAAACTTAATAGAAATAGGAAATGAATGTTTAAAGAAAATATACCTTTTTTCACACACTTGAATGCTGTCTTATCTTAACCAATTAGCTTGACCGCCCGTAGTCTTGATCGCCCGTAGAGGTAAGAACTTTGAACAAAGTCACAAGCAGTATAGCAGTACTTAAGCACTATCTATCTTAATAATGAGTAATACAGAACGGAAGTGAACACTTGTCTCACGTATGCACAAGTTTTAAGAACAACACCCCACCATTGTTCTGCAAGTCATCGCATATTTGTTAACACGGCGCCTATTGAAGCCTATTGAACATTAACTGTACAAGAATTGATGTGTTTCTATATATATTATTTGTTATACTTATGCTACCTTAATTATAATTATCAGATATTATGGCCTTCTCGGAAATTAAAAAATAAAATTCTTTTCATATCAATGAAACGAAGAGATAATCAAAGTAATCTAAGTTATTGCCTCATCCTGAATTATCATTGAAGTAATCTTTTTCAGATTTATTATCAGAAATCAATATCTTGACGATATTGAACGATCTGTCAAAAATGGAAGTTGAACTGTACGTTATATTTAACAATAAACCTACCGACATTTTTCATGTATACCTAATTCTACCATGAGAGGTCAAATGACAGTTACGAAAAAAAACATATGTATGTGTCTTAATATAGAAAGAGATTTTAGCCAATTGAATAGTTAACAATATATTTTTTGATGCTACAATAAAAATCCGCTCCCCGCTTTTCTATTTAGAAAAGTTTGATTTACCTTTATGCATTTTCAGTACATTTTTTACAAATTAAAGCATTTTATATTGCACATATTCAACATACGTATTTTTTACATTTTATACAAATTTTGTTAGTCTTATTGAGACTTTACAATATCTTATTTGACAAGCTTTTCGTCCAGATGAATCTATAGCTGTATTTGTTATTGTTTCTGATGAACATTCTTTGCTTAGCTGTCTTTCTTGCCTCGATACTTCTTCACTCGTTGTTTCTTTATATAAAATCCAAGCATTTATCTCGGCTAAATCTAAGATATTGAAAAATATCTGTAAAAGCCATCTCTGATATAAAGATTTTACACTATATTTTTTGGCCATTTGATCGGTTACATCTACACCAAATTTTGTGCTATTGTAAAATCTAATTATCTCTGGTATACGGGTGTCACTTTTTTCAATTTCAACGGATGAAAGCATTGAACTAAGTATGAATACTTTTTTATTAGATTTAGCTTTATAAATTGAAAGAATAAAATCATTTGATTAAGTGGATTAAGATGGTTGACAAGCGTGGCATGCTATCCTTTTCCTGTCTCGCTAATTTTGGTAGCTCTTTGATAGTTCCAACAAGCGTAGTTTTTTTTGCAAAAAGTTTACTCGCTAATGACACGCTTGTAAAAAAATTGTCAGTTGTTATATTTCTCCCGTGGCCTGTATATGGTTCTGCTAATTTCAAAGTTACTAACTCTTCAAGTGAGACCGATGATTCTCTCCTTTCATCATTTCACAAATATGGAAAAGTAGTTTATTATATACTTACTACTTACATCGGAAGGTAATCAGAATTTTATGCCAATTTTGTCCAGTTTATTGGGCATGTATTGAGTAAATTTACAACGTGCTTTTGTAGGAAACAATTGTTCATCTATAGCAAGATATGCTCCTGGTTTATAACAGTTTTGACTGTTTTCGATAAATTTGTATCAAACTTCAGAGATCAAAGCGAATTTATTGCTTTGTAAGCGTTAGACTCAAAGTTGATATCTTTTGTCAAAACGAATAAATCTCATGATTTTTGTGAAGTCATTCTGGCTCATAGTTGACGAGAAATATGACGGACCGCATTTCTTGTTCCATGATCGTCTACACTGTAAATTCACAATTACATTGTAGGCTCGTAAAACAATTTCAGGAGTACGCTTTCCAAAAAAAAAAAATATAGTCATAAATAAAATGAATTGTTTCAATGGTCAAATGACCGCTGGTGGTAGGACTAGACATGCCATCAATTTTTTTCTGAAAGTAAACAATAAAGAAAGTTGTGAGTATGAAAAATGGGTTGTATATATAATATAGAAAAAGTCAATAAGTTTCATGGCGATACGATAGTAACGTTGTATACTAGAAATTCTAAACGAAATTTCAAAAACGGTCATTTGACTGAGCATGGTAGGATTAATATTAATTACAGTTTTGTCTATGCATTGTATTCACAATGTAGGTGAATAAAAGCAAAAGATGGCGCAGGCGAGTGTATTCGAGTCACGAGATTTGCGAATGTTCCGATAGAGAAGTTAGTTATAAGCAAACTAATGTTGAGAGAGCACGCATTATTTTGTATCATCTCAATAAGTAGTAATAAAATTTCTAAATTATTCTCATTCATCGAGCTTCTCTCCTATAGCAAGATTTAACAATACTATCATTTGCCATAACGTACAGGTAAATATATGTTATTCAAAGTTACTAATTCATAATTCTGAACTGATATTAGAGATATTTGTAAAAAAAAAATGGAATATTTATATGAAGACAGTACTATAAAAATGTTGACGCTATTAGAAATATTCGAATTCTTGTTTTAATTAAATTGCTTCTTCTCAGATTATACGATAGACTTGTAATTTTCAATAAACACGAAGAAATTAATATGCTACATGCGTGATATATTTATAAATTAATTATAAGAATTCTTTTTACTGGCAACGATAAAAAAAAGCATCTCCTTTTTTAAATTTATAATTGATATACTCTTATTTTATAAGAGATAAATAAATATTTATTTTTGTAGCACTGAAATTATTTCATTTTTAAGCTAGTGAAAAACAAATAAAGACAAATTTTCTTACTTTGAATAAAATAAATTTAATGATATGATAGCGATGTGTACATATGAGTCCAAATTTTACAATATTTTAAATGAGTGCAATAATTAAATGTGAAAATTGATCAATTTACGGAATGCATATATGATAATCAGATCTATAAAATAAAAATAAGTAATAATGTGTAATACTCATCTAAAGTTTTAAAAGACAAAGGATTTAAACAATTGAAATTTTTGTCATCGATACAATAAAAAATAGTATATCTTTTAATATAATTCGAATAAAAGAGTATGTATTTATGAATGCATATGAAGTAATTATTCAGGAATTTTTGAACAATGAATTAGGAGCTATTTTTACTCATATTAGTTTCATTACAAAATTTATATTTATCTATTGTTTATTAATATAATAACAACTTATCTTCAATTTATATTTTACATTGTTTTTTAAACTTATTCATTTTATCTTTAACATATACTGTGAAAGAAACTCGAATGTTTTAAGGTATTTGGAAAAAGTTGTGTTTAAATAACGACATATTTAGAAACATTAATAAATAAACATTTTTTAAATTGAAATTTTTACAAAAACTAGCTAAAGACAGTAATAGTTTGATTAAATTATCAACCGAATTGTGTAAGAATCTTATAAAATGTTAACAACCTCTTAATTGCTTGTAAAATAATTGTAAATTATCGAAATAATGGTCGATAAGCGAATCTCTATTAATAATTAAAATAGATTTCCAAGTGATCACTTGATTTTTATGAAAGTCAAAGTTTCACGAGGTGTTTCAGAAAAAGATACTATATATTTATCTGATATATCGATTTAACACTAGATTTATGGAACCCGTTAAAATGAAGAGTTTTCGATTGAATGCTTAAAAATTCTGAACATGCAAACATTATTCTTTAAATATTACATATCGGTTTTTAATTATATAACACAGCGAATATATATTTCTAGTTATTTTCTCTCTCTGGAACACCTTTATTTTATTATTTCCAAATGTGGTATACCTCTCTTCACGAAAATCCGTCCATTTAATGGGTTAAGTTATATAGATATACAACATCTGGAAATAATCAAAATGAAATAACAATGAATAAGAACAAATAACACTAAACAAATGAAAGCTAATTTCTAGTAAATACATGAGCAAACAAATTTGGATTTGTTGTCTACAGTTAGATCAAATCTTGTCATTTCAAAAATACTCATAGTTCAGTGATGAACTTTATCGGAAAAAGAAGTTCTTTTTGGAAGTGAAGTATCTATTATTATTTTATAAAACAAGTAGATCAAAGTGAAAGATTATAAGATAGAGTTAACATGTACAAAATGTATTCAGGACAGAAGTCAATTAAAATCTCTCTATATAACTTTTTAATCAATAATTTCAAACAAAGTTGCATTTAACATACCTGTCAAAAGAAAGGATTTCAATTTTAAAAAAAGAGGTATATACAGGCAATTCTCGTTAATCTAGTGTTAAGAATAATGAGTTTCTTAAAAAAAGTTTGTAGATATTAGTGTAATATAAACTAATCGATAATTATCCTAGTTACTCTTATATAATATAAGTTAAATTTATCATTCTATTACGAAATAAGAAAAATAAAAAACAAAATATCGTTGATATTACGTATATATTTTATTGTTACTTTGTTCAACACCACTATAGAATTTTCAAAAAATCGATTTTTTTTTTTTTTTATTAGCTTAAAATATGTACTTTAGACATCTAAAAACATTATGAACACGGTCCCGAAGCAAAAAAAAATTGTTAACATGGCGAAATTTTATTTTTACGAAACGTCTCAAAGCGCCTCGAATAGTGATAACAAAACTTTAAACGCGTTTTTCTCGAAACTACATTTTTAAAACTGGACAGACTCAGAACTCGAGCATCATTTAACCATCATTTAACCGATTGATTCGAAAGTTTGAAGATAGTTTGATAGTTGTATTATCTACACAAGTACACATCCGATTTTTAATTGAATGTAAACTTTTAATTTTATAAACTATTTTCTACATTTTGTTTCGTCGAAAGGTCGATTTTTTTATTCAAAGTTGCGCCATTTTCATAAAATTTGACTTAGGGAAAAATTCGTATGTACTTCTCAAGATAATAGTACATAGATTAAGAATTTCTTTTGTTTTTTATTCTAGGTCTCATAGTTGTCCAAGTATGAGTCCACCCATTTTAGTAAAAAAAGAAAAAAAAAAAAAAAACAGGATTTTGTTCAGTCACGAATACCGACTATGCCATTTTCTATCTAAAATCAATCAAAATATTTTTTTTTTCATAGTTTAATATATGATTAACCAACCCTCAAAAAAGAAATTCTATTCCTCATTTAGTTTTCGCACAAAAATTCCCAAAAAAAGGCTTTTTTCAGGCTCTATAGTGGTGTTACCCCTTAAAGGATTAATAAGTTGAAATGACCGTCTCCACTCTGAAACAACTATAATTAAATGTTTTAAATATGAAAGAAGATAAAATATGATATTTTAACTAGGTAATATTAGAGATTAAAAAGAAAAGATTAGTCAAGGTATGAGATGGAAATCTGATTCCAAATATAAAAGAAATTATTATTTTATTTCGTTTCAATGCTTATACTGTATTTCATGGTCTTCCAAGTAAAGGTTATCTAATCTCGAGATAAAGTTTTTTTATTGATTTAATTTTTTAAGAAACTTTCTTTATGATTTATCTTGAACGATGATTCGTAATACGTATCAACGTGGTAGATTTAAAGTTGATAGAAAATACGACTGATAGAATATTTATTTTTAAAAAACAGGAAGAGATAAGAACAAATAACTACCTACAATCACGAAACTTAAAAGTTGGAAAAACAAACTTTTAAGATATATCAAATATCACTTTCTTATTTTAATTACATGTCTCTCATTTCAATTCGTATATAACCAATTTATTTCCTAAAACGAAGAATTTAAGTTTATAATCAAATTTTCTTTACAAGCTTTCCTAAATGTGCGAAAGTATTTCTCTTAATATTTCGAGTTTTTACGATTTAACTCATTGAGATATGGCGGTATTAAAAGTGTCTTACCTTTTTGATGCTTAAATGAGTACGCTCGGTGGGATTATGTGAATTAAACCTTATAACAGAAAATTTATTTGAATTATTATTTTTGTTTTATGTTTCGATTTTTAAAGGATTTTTGCGCCCTTTGACTGCGGCGCGCTCTCGAACGAATCCAAATATATGAACGGCGCGATTTTCACATGTTAGTCGCTGCGACTGTTTTTCCGCTGACTACTAATCAAAACAGATAATAATGGCAAATAAAATAAAAATATCAATTTTTGTTTGTTTGAAATGAAAACTTCTTTAGAATAGGGAGTGATTTGAAAAATATGAAACGCGGCGGCGATGCAACGGAGCGGCGAGCGGCTATGTAACGGCTACGATATTTAGTAAAAAGAGAAAAAGAGACAAATATATAAGATTGAGCCTGCGAAAGAATGGGACAGAATATTTCCTATTTTCGGTCTCCTCTTTATGCTCCGCTTCGTAATTATCGCTCCTGGTTGTATATGTGTGTGTTTGTGTGCGACTGCATACAACGAAGCGTGGACACATATTATTTCGATACTGAAACTGTTTGTAGATAGGAGCAATAGAAGGGTAGAAGCATAAACAGAGATAAGCACGTAGGTATGCGACAAAAGTATAATATAAAACATATACAACCAGGAGCGATGACTACGAAGCATAGCATAAAGAAGAGACCGAGAATAAGAAATACTGTATAACTATATTCTGTCTCATTCTCTCGCAGGCTTAATCCTATACGTCTCTTTTTCTCTTCTTACATGAGTTTCATTGTCGTGTTATGCCACCGCTCGCCACAGCGTGTTTCATTTTTTCAAATCACCCCCATTCTAAAGAAGTATTCACTTCAAAAAGATAAAAAAAAATCTCCAAATTTCTATCACTTTTCATCGTCATTCTTATATTATCGTCTTTTTAACTTTATTCTTTTCGAGGCTAATAAAAAAGAAAAAGTGAAAAGTAGTAATTTGTTATATTAAAATTTGCTTTTTATTTTACAGATCGTATTCATAATGTGGCATTCAAGTAAATCTATCATTTTCGTTACTATCATAAGTATGGAAATCATTCATGGTTTACATGCTATGTCTATATCGATTTATCCGGAAAAATTTGAGGAAAATCTCAATATTTATTTGGGAGAACCGATGGACAAATGCGACAATCAGAAAGACGAGAATGTACAACTTGTTAATATGGGTTTGAGTTCAGTGACAGAGAATTTCATCACCAGCGTTAACGTGAAATCTATTAATCTCGAGGACAATAACATCGTTTATATCTCTCCTAATGCTTTTAAAGCTGTTCCAAATTTGTCATGTCTCAACATTCGACGAAACAATGTAAACAATATATTCAACGTATTTCTAAAATCATTTAACCATACATTATTAAATAAATTAAATTTAGCTCAATCAATATTTAAAAAGACTTCTTCGGAAGACTTTTCTTTTGAGATTCTAGATAGATCAATTACAACAAAGAACATTGAGGCATCATCAAAAATGTATCTACCTTATGTAACGCACTTAGATTTGAGCGACAATAACTTGGAAGCTCTTCCGGAGTATATCAAAACTTCATTTCCTCGCTTGACGCATCTTTATTTGTCAGATAATAATTTGAGATCATTCAATTTTATACCTCCGACAACGGAGTATTTGTATTTGGAAAGAAACCGTGCCTACGTTGACTTGACAATTTTTCCCAAAAATATTAATGGGCTATTTTTAAACGATAATAAATTTAACAATTTTATGAAAAATTATGAAAACCTAAGAATATTATCTATTCGTAATTGCAGTGATGTTCTTTATTATATAAAATATCTTAATAAAGGAAAGCTCGTTGATTTGGATATATCATCAAACCGATTAAATGACATTCAAATAAACTTTTTCAGAGATGCAAAATATTTAAAACGTTTATCTTTAGATAGAAATTCTCTTTCTTCGTTATCATTTTTAACCCATTTAGTTTCTCTTACAAATTTGTCGATAGCTTATAATAAGCTTATCAATATTAAGTCAGATTTTTTTGTAAATCTGAAAAATTTGCAGACATTAAATTTGCGAGGTAATCGTATAGAGAACATTGACAAAGATGCTTTTTTAAACTTAAGAATGTTAGAAAAACTTGACCTTGCAGAAAATAATCTGAGTACGCTTCCTGTTACATGGATGAATACCTTAACAGGGTTGCGGTACCTTAATTTGAAATCTAATTCATTTTCTAGCATCGATAGCACGTCTATATATGCTTATTCGAATCTAAATCAGTTATTCTTAGGGAACAACAACTTTATACAAATAGACATGGAAAGTTTAATGAAATTACCTTCAACTGTTATTGTTCATGTGTCATCGATAAATAATTCTACATGTGTAACGTAAATATGTTTTATTATAAATTCAAAAAGATTATCTACTATCACACAATAAGCATATTATTAATAAACATTTATAATATTCTTTATTACATAAAATATTACAAATAAAGAAGATAAATTATAGTGTAAACCCTACAACTTAATATTTTTATTAATTTTATTATTTATTTTGCTGTTAAGTGGGACAAAATGTTAAATTTTATATTAAATTGATTAAAATATAATTGAGTTTAACTATAATGAGATTCGAAAAAAAGATGAACGGATTCAAAAGTACCATTGATATGCATTTAAATACGTAAAGTTAGGTTCCTCAAGTTGTAATCCATAAAAACAAGAATATAAAATGTGTAATTTTAAATATACACAAAAACATTTGTATTATTCATAACTCATTATATTTATATTGAAGAAGTTAGAAATATCGACACGTTTTTACATAAAATTAATAAATAATGATAAATGAGTATGATACAATATGTTAAATTAGAGTTTTAAGTCGTAAACTATCTACTCTAATACCTAAGAATAAAATACAATTAATCAAAGATATTTAGGTATATGCAATGAATGTGTAACAAATATGTAATAAATATATACATAAAAGCATTTATATATATATAAATATTTATTGATATTCATCGAGTAGTTTTTACAATCATTACGAAAATATATTTAACAAGGGGAGGTCAGAGTACGCGAGAGGCTTTCAAACTTTTTTCAAACATTGAACAGTTGTCCATGTGACAGGAAACTCTGTCAGGAAACGTTCCCTGACGTCGCACGGCTAAAATACCCTAAATTAAATACAACATTTTAAAAAGAAGATTCGTGGACTGTTTTTATTTTACCAAAAACGTGTCATTTATTTTCTATTTAAAAATGTTTCCATTTTATTGAAAAATTAATAATATTATTTTAAAGTAATAAGGTAAGTAAGTAAGTAAGTAATTATTATAAAGTAAATAAGGTTTATTTGTTTTTGTCACGTGTCTAGTTTCTTCTATTTAAAAACTTTTCTATTTTATTGAAAAATTAGTATAAATTTCCTAAATACGCAAACATTATAATTAAAAAACATGTCTTTGGATATTTATAAGAACAATATTCTACAATGTTGTCTAATTTTGTTCTCTGATGTATCTGATAATCATTTTATCATTTATATATTATATTTACTTAAGTTAGGACATGATATCTTTCCATCGATAAACATTCTACCATTTTTGTTTCTATCTATGGCTATTGCATTCGGCATTCCATCTTGATAGATAGAATTTTGAAAATGTTAGTTTTTGTCAGCTACCTACACCCAGAGACCATACCGCTGATCTTTAATATATATGGTAATAATATTATAATAAATAAATCCTACAATTATGTTACTCTTAAAACTGTGCATTCGTCTGATTCTCTCGAAACTTAGATTTTTGAAGGTTTCACTTCTAACACGTGTGATCTGCACACATGATTTTTTTTATTTTTCCGATCACTCCCATTCTAAAGAAGTTTTCACTTCAAAGACTTCGCGTGGAAAGGGTTAAACTTGATTAGATATGAAAGATCAATTCTTCTATTCCTCGAAATATATATCTCCGTATTGCTTTTCCTTTTTGAGTTCACATTAAGCGTTGATATAGTATCGCTGCTGAAGAAATCATTTAAGGAAAGAAGCTGAATCGTAGTTAAACGTTTAAAGTTGTACAAGCGTTAAATTAAGGTATGTAATTAGCTTATTTAAAATATTTAGAAAAATACGCATCTATCAATTAAACAATTCACGTCAATCAAAAATATTAATAGGAAATACTTATAAAAATAAAATATTCATACAAAGATTACACTAATCGTAACGCTAATTATCTTGGAATTATAACATTTTTAATATTTTCTAAAAGTGCATACAATTAATCTTATAAAAGTGTTACAACAATTTATTAAATAAAATAATCACTTAAATAAATCAATCTAACCTATAATTGCTAATAAGATTGGCAAATTAACAATAGGTGTGTTATATGTGAGATGTATTTGTTTAATGAAAACATTTATTTTAAAATAATAGAAATAAGTAATATCTTTAGTCAAAGTGTCGTTTCAAATATTAGAAGTAGAAAAATATAGGATTTATTTCTACGTTAAAACATAATGTAAAGATAGAGAGAGATAGGTACACCAGCGATTCTCGTCTTTCGAAAAACATTTAAACACTCTTACCGCTTTGACACAAAACTGTAATAAAATATCTAAAATCATTATTTTTCGAAGAAATATTAAAAATTGCGACATTAGAATAGATTTATTTTTGACGGAATAAAAATAAGAGGAGAGAAAGCGTTAGTGTTGATTCTTTGATGAGTGAACCATAAAGTGAGGAAAATATTTGATATCAAGTTTTACAACTTATACGAAAATTCGTAGAAATTTATCAAGCCCACAATGTCTGGTTTTTTTATTTTCTGATTTGTATTACGACCATTTCGTTTAAGAACATAAAGTTCTGTTACTTTAATATTAATAGAAAAAAACTTTTACGCGTAGGACCAGTGGAAAACTTTTCTTCTTTTTTTTTCTTAACGCCTTTTTAATAAAAATATTATTCTATTGGATTTATAAGCGATTCTGCATATGTAAGTGCATTAAATCGAACCACAGTTGTTGTCGCAGTAAAAAATCAGCAAAAGACAGTTACACAGCAACGTTAAAATAATTGTATTTTAAAATTGAACTAACAGAATAAGTTTACAAGTTGATACAGGTTGCAGGCATTGCAATTGTAATTTAAAAAGAGATCTTTATAAACTATTATAAATCGTGTCTAAAGCAATTATTATGAAATAATTTCTTGAGAACATTATTTTATCAATATATTTTGTTGTTATTGAAAAGATGAAATATCGTGATTTGCATCATGCCACTTCATCCTACTCAACATTGATTCAAGGGGCATACTAGCGGTACTGTTCGACCAATCAAAGCAATGATAACGCAATAGTTACTGTATCTAATAAAAAAACCGCGTATTATCTTGACAAATAAACATTGTAAGGTATTAATAACCGCAGTAAATATTTTATCTTCAATAGATTATTATTATTATTTCATCATTTTTCTCTCAGACTACGGTCTGGCCTTTTTTATAGAGAAACTTGTGGACTTTTCAGTCAAGCATGCTCTCTTTATTTCTTTGTGTTATTGTGTGTTGAGTGTTTTCCTAACTATAAAGCATGTGTCGATAATAACTGATTTCTGCTAATCTGATTGCTGCTGACGTGATTCACGTCATTTTACATTTTACAAATTTAATAAAAATAAATTTATATTATTTTATAATTATTATTATTTTTATTATTCTTTTTTATTAATATTTTATTATTACTTTATAATTATTATATATATATATATATATATATATATATATATA